TGAAATGGGGAGTGCTACAGCTGTAGAACCGGAATGCCAATGCAAGGACAACGCCACCGGCGCCACTTACAACTTTTGCTACCATCTCCCGGTCGATCCGTCCGTACGAGGCAAACGCTTCGACTGCCGTTATTTGCCTCAGCTGAAGCGGCTGCGATTGATTGGAAACCTAAACAATGATTACGTGTGGATCGAAGCGGGGGGCATTCCAGAGCCGACCTTCATCACCGCAGCGTCAGATAATCATTTTCTCGAAGTCCAACGACTGATCGTCGACTTTCAAAGGGTACTGCCGAACAAAAGCGTCGTCTTTTACGACATCGGTTTGAGCGAAGACAACGCCGCCGAGATGAAATCCTTCTGCAACGTCAAGTACAAAAAATTCCATTTTTCCAACTATCCAGTCTATGTCCGCAAGCTGAAGGAATACCGATGGAAAATTCTTCTAATCGCGGTAAGCAGCAATATTCGGTTTCATGAATCAGAGCCAAAATGTCATGCACTATCTCTTGAGCACCGTTACAGGGTCATTGCAAGTTTTGAGCTGCCCTCACAGGTGAGCAGTTCCTTCTAAGGATCGAGAGGGGACAATTCGAGTGATTCGAGCATATGAATGGAATGCCAAGTAACTGACTCGCGAGGTGAACTCGTTGAGCGAAGTCCCATGAAGGACAACAGCAAGTGCCTGCCGAAGAACCTACAGTGTTATATTGAGCATTTGGCAGGTCAAGTATCTTAATTCAGGCGATGGAGGTTGTGAAAGAGAGGGATCACTGAGGAATGCTCCCGATACTGCTGTTTTCGCAACCTGAAAGAAATAGCAAAATTGAAAAATGAATGAATGTATGAAAGAAAGGAATAAATCATTGAATGAGTGGATGATGAGTGAACAGATTAATTGGTCATGGTCTTGCGTTTCAATCGAAACTATCGCAATAGTTTGTTCAATCATGTCCGTTGAATTTTTCAAGGAGGCCCTGAAAGAATATGGAGCAGTTTGGTATATGGATGCCGCGGTTTCAGTTGTGAAGCCAGTCTGTTCTGACGTGTACAAACTGCTAACTTGTCGAGTGAAACATCTGGCCGAGGGACGACCTCCGGTCTGGAGAAACATCAAATACCTGAAAGACGATCACCTAGACAAAGTCGAGGAAGAGTCATGCAACAAATTTGCGTACTTACTTCATTCCTACGCCGGTCACTCGATCTACAGTGCCACTAAAGAAGGTAGCACCATGAAGTACGAATGTGATCGGTAAAAACAGTGAAACCTCTTTAGGCATGTACGACTACATTCCGTCGGTTCAGGAAAAACTGAAACACAGGTATGGCCCTATGTACAAGGCTGGTCTTGCGTTTGCGGTTAGAACGAAAGAAGTTGTGGAAGACTTCATGCGATGGTAGGTCTGCGACTCACAGCTGTCATCTGTAAGATTTGTACGCTTTTATGGCCGAGGCAAGTCGGACTCGTTCAATCCATTGTTTTCTTCTTTGTATGGGAACCGAAGCGTTCGAACCTAATCCTCCATTCAGAGGGACAGCATTGTTTATGACTTTTCAGCTTGCCCGATGGGCTTGTCAATTCATGACCGAGTACAGGAAACAAAATTGACGACAAAGGGTTGCCTGGTAGCCGTTGTCACCAGTACAAGTCGGATACAGTCGGTCGGGATGAAGGGAACGACTCATAAATAGAAAACTCAAGTGACAGGCACGATTATCTCCGGCATACTGTATCAACTTAACGCTAGCGTTCCTGCTTTCATTAATGTTCATGATTGAAAAGTATTCACTGCACATTCGATGAGCAACGGCCAAAACATTATGGAACTTTTTTCTCAGAAGGCCCGAGCACCCGCCCCCTCTCTGACTGTATTCGTATCCTACAGTAATGATGTCAAAATTCATCAGTCGTCAGGCAACCTGCGGCGGACCTTTGGCGAGTCGTTTTTAATCTGGTTGGATGTCTCTGCTCTTGCAGATATTTCGACGTGTCTTGTCGCCGTAGTGGAACTCGACCCCGTAAATGACAGTCATGACCACTTTCTGGTTTTCAGCGGTGTGCCTTGCGTACACAAGGATTCTCTGCACTGCTCTAACACCGTGGTAGACCACAGAAATGCCCTATATTTAGGTTACCCTTGACTGAACTAAATTCTTTTGTAGTATCTGCGGCAGTATGAGGCAGTTTGTAAGTTCAAACTTGGGTCGGAAGGTCATTGTTTAATACTCACCTCCTAAAACATTGCTCGTAACCAGTGCCAGGTGGTAGAGAAAATGATGAGAAAATGCATCAGGCTTGCAACCATGGCGTTCTTAAATGTCCCCCAGATAGCAAGAACAAGGGGCGGTGACATAAGTCGTGAAATCTGGTCAGGGAGGAGAATATCGAGATATGCGTTATTTGACACACTCCGCAGTAGCAACATATTTTAATTATTACAGTATGATTATAATGAATTTCACGTTTGTATTTGTGCCATGGCTTGATGAAGTTTGCATGTATTTGTTGGTTTCAGGGCTGTGCTTTGTGCGTTGGAAAACAAATGCTTAGTACCGGACGGGTCTAAATTATTTTGCAAATTTAACGATGGTACGTATGACAAACGAGTGGCTTGTCACCGCTATGATCAGTCGCTGATGAGTCTTCTGCTGACCAATCGCCATGCGTACAACGTGAAGCTGTGGACAAGCGGTGTTGAAGACTGTTTTAACATTACTCCTGGTGCAATCACCAGAACGTCGCCAAAAATATGTCACTGATGCATTAGCATTGTTCATTTCTGATTAATCTCAGTAGCGGGTTATTCCTGTCTTTTAATATCATCGGTATTTTCGTTTAGTTAACGTCATAATAATCCTGTGGAATAATTCTGAACTGTCAATAAAAGCCCCTTTTTGTTCAAACAGGCATTGTGGAAAAGTGCATCATATCGTTTAGAGGCTTTATAATCGATCGAGCTTTGATCTGATGCTTCGTCCGTGTACTGTAACGTGCTTGGAGTGTAATACTTCAGATTTGGACAAGAAAACTCTCATGAGCATTCATTCTTCGACTCATTCAACATCTAAGCCAGGCATGCATGGAAACAATGTGGTGTGGTTAAATCGCCTTAAGATTAGGGTCAGTGGCCCAACGCTGCTGCAAGCAAACAAGACTGTTGTATTAAAATTTTCAGTTATTTCTTATTCGTTTGTTTTTCTTACGGTAGATTTAGGTGGTGCTCGAACTCGCCCTTGTTCAGTCCAGTTCCGAGATGCAAACCAGAGTCGTGGCCTTCTTAAACCATCACTTAGACGACTAGAGGTAAATGGGTTTAGTGTTTACGCAGAGTAAACTGGTATCAGATATTATAGTTATGATTTGTTTTATGTTATCAGTGGGGTTTTGATTCTGGGTCAATGGTTCACCTACGGACACTGTTTCTGTGTTATATGACCATGAAAGTTTTGACTCGATAATAAATCGCTAATGATATAATTCTGAATGACAGTTGTGTCATTCAGTCGCGAATTGAATTTTTATTAATTATTTTGAATGGTTTATTTTTAAATACGTTTTTTTAAATATGTTTCGGAGTTGACGTTATTACACAGGCTATAAACTCACTAGTGGCTTTTCTCTTTCAACCCGACTTTTCGGCTACTGGCATGAATGCCATCATGAGCGATGTTTAGGAAACAATGAAACATTAAACAGGTTAATAATAAACTATGGAAATCTTACAAAACAAAGCATAATATAGCAAATAATTCGACGAAGGTGAAGATGTACATTAAAGTTAAAAGAACTCTAGAAGGATGGAAAAACTGAGTCCAGTTGGTGGTTGTCTGAGGTAGCAGAGTTGAAGCAAACGGGTGGTTTGCATTATGGATTTCCAAACACAACAGTTGCTGGTGTACTTGTTGCGTATCCTTTCTGGTTTTAGTGAAATACGTAGGATCTCTTAAATAAGCAGGCCAAACTTGTTCTTTACACAATCAAAGACGCTGGAGTTTTCACATTCATTTTTTGGACTCAAAGAAATCCGGTGCAATTCCGCAGTATTCTGGATGATTCATCTAAATGGCATCTTATTTTTTTATTTGCACGTTAAGTGGCGTCATATTTTATCAACATAACTTATATCCGAGTTTTCACGGTTTATCTGATAAACAGCATTAGATTGATCATGATTTAAAGAGTTTAATTTCTTGTCTATATATATAGTGTATACACCGTGTCCCGCGTCTCATATTCTTACAATATTGTGGAAAATGATGCTCGGTGTTCTGAAGGAACAGTATAACTGTCTGTTAGAGACTTGTGGTTTTCTAAGTAAGTTAAAAGTTAAGGTATTAGCTGAATTACTGTCATAAAAAATTATAAATTTGTTGTTCTGTCAACATGGTCTAGGGCTGGTAGATATTGCGCAGTAGATAAATTTAGATTTATGATACCCAACGATTAGAAATAGTATTTCAGGCTAATATTAGGCAACAAATCTTACTCCTCCCGACTAGAAAATCTGCCCCTGTGATGCACCTCAAGGGTTGGCGGTGTCTATTAATCCGTTTACGGATACTGAATAGTGCCCACACCAATAAAGCATTTTCGTTCAATTCTGGGATATAACACTAATCACATCTCGCCTAAACTTTGTCAAGATCTGAATCTGCATGCCGCTCGGAATTACTACTCTCATTTGCTAACTGACGACCGTAGTGACACTCGAACTCGCCCGAAGAATATCCGGTTTCTCAGGCAAAAAGCAGTAATAAACCGGATTCGTTTTAATACCTTAGTCACGTGATTAAGGGACGGCAAAAATTGTGGGAGTTTTGCATCCGTTTCTCGCTGCTCGCATTCGTTGTTTGTGCACAAGAATGAAAAGATGCTGCACAGCTCTGGTGTTGTACGTGCTTTTGTCATTTGGACTCTGCATTGAGGATGAGGCTGAAGAGGAAAACGAGAATCCCCTCGTGTGTGAGGATCCCGGAAAGAAGGTGTTTTTCGAGGAGCCGTCGCTGGCCAAAAGAAGCACGTGCGGTCAGCTGACTCGTTCGGCATGTCAGTTCGTTCACGATGCAAACAAGAAATGCCCTTGTACCTGCCAGTACCTACTGAAAGGTGGCTACCCCTTGATGTACCTTACAGCAGCCACTCCGGTGCCAACGATCCCAACGCCCGCGTGGATAGGTCCAAAACCCAAACGGAGAGGATTCAGAAGGCGTGGATACAATATCATTCGCCAATTTAATGGTCATCCTGAATTGTTTCAAGCACCACCGTTTCCATTGCCACCACGGCCTATTGTTTAATTTTTATTTAAAAAATTATATAGTAATTGTTGCTCTTGTTCCTGTTCATTTCTTCTGTCATTATGTGTGAATTCTCATATATTTTTG